AGGCACGAAATCCAGTTGGGTGACTCTGGGCCAATCACCAGGAGACGGGGAGTTCTAGTCCCGCCTTAGCATGAAAGCTGGCTGGGTGACTCTGGGCCAATCACCAGGAGACGGGGAATTCTAGTCCCGCCTTAGCATAAAAGCTGGCTGGGTGACTCTGGGCCAATCACCAGGAGACGGGGAGTTCTAGTTCCGCCTTAGGCATGAAAGCTGGCTGGGTGACTCTGGGCCAATCACCAGGAGACGGGGAGTTCTAGTCCCGCCTTAGGTATGATATCCAGCTGAGTGACTTTGAACCAATCACCAGAAGACAGTGAGTTCTAGTCCCGCCTTAGGCATGAAAACCAGCTGGGTGACTTTGGGCCAATCACCAGGAGATGGGGAGTTCTAGTCCCGCCTTAGCCATGACAGCTGGCTGAGGGACTTTGGACAAGTCTCTCTCTTTTCAGCCCAGCCCACCTCGCAGGGTTATTGTTAGGAAAATAGGAAGAGGGAGGAGTCCATACCTTGATCTGTTTATAAAAATAATGAAGGCAGGATATAACCCAGTCGGCCCTTTTCTCCCATCAATGCCCTCCCTTCAACAGGAAGGAGAGAGAGCCTTTGGCTGCAATGCTTGTAAACAGCATTTTTTTTTCCAGAAAGAAAAAACTCCGGCTAAGCAGGAGTAGACATGAATTCATGAGGATATTCAGAATCAGAGGACATGGGGCATAAGGGCTGTCCATCACAGGAGGGAGAGCTTTGGAGATCTGCCCTTATACAATAACAGAGCCGGAAGGGGCCTTGGAGGTCATCCAGTCCAACCCCCTGCTCGAACAGGAAACACTATCCCATTTCAAATAAATGATTGCCCAATCTCTTCTCAAAAACCTCCAGTGATGAAACACCCACAACTTCTGGTAGCAAGTTGTTCCACTGGTGAATTGTTCTCACTGTCAGGAAATTTCTCCTTAGTTCCAGGTTGCTTCTCTTCTTGATTAGTTTCCATCCGTTGTTTCTTGTCCTGCCCTCAGGCGCTTTGGAGAATACGTGGACCCCCTCTTCTTTGGGGAAGCCCCCCCAAAATTTAAATACATGTCTCCCTTAGTCCTTCTTTTCATTAAACTAGACATATCCAATTCCTGCAATGGTTCTTTGTACGTTTTATCCTCCAGTCCTCTGATCACCTTTGCTGCTCTTCTCTGCACTCTTTCCAGAGTCTCCACATCTTTTTTACATCAAAACTGGATGCAGGATTCAATTTTGGTTCCCATGATGTCAATAAGATGTTGCAATGTTATTTTGTCTTCGTGCTTTGGAGAATAGTTTGAATCACACACACACAGACACACACACCGTGTTTGTGGCAGCTGTTTGCCTACTGGATGTTCAGCCCTATTCTTTCCAACATTTTTATCTCCATCCATAGAAGTGACCGGAAATTCCAAACTAATTGGAGGGGGGGCATTGGGGAAACTCAGGAAGTCAGCCGTGAGAGCAAAGGAAATAAAATCAGCTTGCTTTTGCCAACGTCCCAGCCGAGCTGCGACCGAAAGCTGCTGTGTCCCAAATCCTCTTAGTTAATGCTGATCGTATCATTTGCAGCCAGCGGTTTAATATCCATAATCCAGGAGATCCTTATTGCTCTCTGAGTTGCCTGGCTTTCTTGCAGACATTTCATGACCTAACTAGGTAACATCATCAGTGCTAGAAGGGAGAAGAAGGAGAACGAGGGGGGGGGGGAAGTCAAGCTATTCTCCAAAGCACCTGAAGGCAGGACAAGAACCAATGGATGGAAACTAATCCAGAAGAGAAGCAACTTAGAACTAAGGAGAAACTTCCTAACGATGAGAACAATTAACCAGTGGAACAACCTGCCTCCAGAAGTTGTGAATGTTCCAACACTGGAAGTTTTTAAGAAGAGACTGGATAGCCATTTGTCTGAAATGGTGTAGGGCACTGATCGCGAACCTTTTAGAGACTGAGTGCCCAAACTGCAACCCCAAACCCACTTATGCATCATCGAGTGCCGGGTGGGTGTGGCCCATTGGCCAGGTGTGGCCAATTGGGTGGGCATGGCTGCGGTGGTATTGGCAGACTGCGTGGGACTAAAAACTTCAATCAATCAATTCCAACTTTGCAAGATCCTTTTTTTTCCTGCGAGAACTTGAAATTGACTGTTCCAACCTTTTTTTTTTTTTTTTTTTGCACATGGTGGCGGAGGCCTAAAGCGAAAAGGTTTTATAAAACCCAGCTGAAGGCCTAGGACTGGGGCGACTGTGCGCGTGCCCACAGAGAGGGCTCTGAGTGCCGCCTCTGGCACCCGTGCCATAGGTTCGCCACCACTGGTGTAGGGTTTCCTGCCTGAGCAGGGGGTTGGACTAGAAGACCTCCAAGGTCCCTTCCAATTATTCTATTCTGTTCTGTTCTGTTTTGTTTCATTCCATTCATTATTCTATTCTATTCTATTCTATTCTATTCTATTCTATTCTATTCTATTCTATTCTATTCTATTCTATTCTATTCCAATCCATTCCTATTCCTATTCCTATTCCTATTCCTATTCCTATTCTATTCTATTCTATTCTATTCTATTCTATTCTATTCTATTCTATTCTATTGTTTTCTGTTCTGTTCTATTATTTTCTATTCTATTCTATTCCTGTTCGGTTCTATTATCCTATCCTATCCTATCCTATCCTATCCTATCGTATCTTGTCCTCTCCTCTCTTCTCCCATTTATTTCTATCCTCCTCTCCTCTCCTCTCCTATGATGGCCTTCAGATCTACCTGCTTGCAAGCATGAGCAGGTCTTAGTCCTGGTTGTATGTGGTTGTTCAGGGAACACACCACACACAATGGATGTGCCCCAGATGCCTCGGCTTCTGTTTCTGATTGTTAGCCAACACACATACAAACACAATGCCAGTAAACAAAAAGAGATGACACTCGGAAGAGTGCTAGAGGTGGGCCCAGGAGGGGTACACAACTGTTCATGGCACGGGAAACACTCGGGAGTGCATGATGGGCCAGATAAAGGCAGTCCTCGGCTTACATCCAGAATTGAGCCCAACATTTCTGTCGCTAAGCGAGACAGAGGTTAAATGATCCTCCCTCCCCCTGTTACGACCTTTCTTGCCACTGCCATTAAATGAATCACTACAGTTATTAAGTTAGGAACACGGTTGTTATTTGATTAATGACCGGTCCTCAGACTTATGACCATCAGAGCATCTACATGATCAATATTTAAGGGCTTGATCATCCTCAGCATCCCAAGGTCAAGCCATCGCCCCTTGTGACCTTCCCAGCCAGCCAAGTCAATGGGGGAAGCCAGACCCGCTTAATGGCTGCCTGATTCATTTAACAACTGCAGTGATTTACTTAAGGCTTGCAGAAAAAGATCGTCAGAATCAACGAGGACTCCATTAACAAATACCATGCTTGGCGATCCTGTTCCCCATTGTGGCTGTTAAGTCGAGGACCACCTGTAGTGAGGTGTGAGCCCACTAAATCGCAACTTTGGCGATTTCCAGAGGCCTGGACTTCAAATCCCAGATTCCACAGCCAGCCAGGGCCATTGGTGAGAATTCTGGGAGTTGAAGTCCACAGGCCTGCAAACCACCAAGGTTAGGAAAGCTCTGCCCTCTAGTGGCCAAAAGGAATTTCTTCTCTCTCTTTTAATCCTTCAGATTCTCATGCAGGTTTTTTTTTAAAAAAAAACAACCCATAATGAGATTTGGTCAAGATGGGCCAGAGGATTATGGAGAAAATCTGCTGGATGGAGAAAGAATGAGAAGGAAATTGGTAGTTCCCTTTTCACCCTTTTTATTCTAAGGCATTGACTCTCGGGAACTCATTTCAGCAGATAAATGGAGTGGCGGGCCAGGGTTTCCCAATAGGAAGAGAATATTTGTAGCTCAGGATTCAAGGGGGGGGGGTCCTTGGGGCTCTCTGAGCTGGGTGGCTTTCTTGCAGACGTTTCATGACCCAATTGGGTAACATCATCAGTGCTAAAAGGGAGAAGGGTGTGCAGAGAGGAGGAGGAGGAGGACGACGATGATGACAATGACGACTGTGGGGTCCTTGTTGCTCTCTGAGTTGGGTGGCTTTCTTGCAGACATTTCATGACCCAACTAGGGAACATCATCAGTGCTAGGAGGAGGAGGAGGAGGAGGAGGGCTATGGGGTCCTGGGTGAGCTCGGTGGTTTTCTTGAAGACGTTTCATGACCCAACTAGATAGCATCATCAGTGCTAGAAGGAAGTGGGATTTATGGAGAGGAGGAGGAGGGGGAGGAGGAGGAGGAGGAGGAGGAGAGGACTGTAGGGTCCTGGGTGCTCTCTGTGCTGGGTAGCTTTCTTGCAGACATTTCATGACCCAACTAGGAAACATCATCAGAACCAGAAGAGAGAAGGGTTTGCAGGGAGGAGGAGGAGGAAAAGGAGAAGAAAGAAAGAAAGAAAGAAAGAAAGAAAGAAAGGAAGGAAGGAAGGAAGGAAGGAAGGAAGGAAGGAAGGAAGGAAGGAAGGAAGGAAGGAAAGATGGATTGTGGGGTCCTTGGTGCTCTCTGTGCTGGGTGGTTTTCTTGCAGACATTTCATGGCCCAACTAGGTAACATCATCAGTGCTAGAAGGGAGGGGGCGGAAGAGGGGGAAGAGGGAGAGGACTGTGGGGTCCTGGGTGCTGTCTGGTTTTCTTGCAGATGCTTCATGATCCACCTCGGTAACATTATCATCCCTTTTAGCACTGTTGACGTTACCAAGTTTGGTCATGAAACGTCTGCCAGAAAACCACCCAGCTCAGAGAACACCCAGGACCCCACATGGTTTCTCAACATTGGCAGCTGGAAGATGGGTGGGCTTCGCTTCCCAGAATCCCCCCTCCCACCCCCCTCCCCGTGAAGAGGCGGGAAAGAGCTTTGTAGCCCTCCACAACTGTGCTCAGAACTTTGTGAACCGGTCCAGGAAGAAGGACATCAACACGTCACAACAGCTCAGGAATCTGCCAGTTCCCGAAGCCGTCCTTTTTATTTTGTTTTAAGGGCATGCAATGCGGTTCTTATACACAGTATGTGCACACACACACACAAACACACACAGCCTTTCTGTGCCTGTTTGTCAAGAGGCCAGAGAGTCAGTGAACACCAGTGTGACCCAGTGCACGAAATCAGCCAGAAATCCTAGGTGGAGAACGACACAGGAGCAGTTTTAACAAAAGCGTCCCTTCATTGCGAAGTGGTCAGAAGGGATGGGCTGGGGAGGGGGAGGACGGTGAGTGGGGAGGGTCACCGTAGCTCTTTCTCCAGGCCTGGGAGACCCCCAGGAGGCGGGTTCCACCCGGAACTCTGTAGGGAAGCAAGTCAGGAAAAGTGAATCAGGATCAGCTTCCCCGATTTCCAGCCTTGAACACGAATTTCCTAACTACAGACCCCTTGCCTTTGTTTTTGGGTAGGTGGGCATGTGGGGAGGGGCTGCATCTGGAAGCTGAGGGAGCAGACCACCCAACTGCCCAAAGGGGGTGGGTGGGAATAAAGAGCTTTACCGAGGCTTGTTTCCATAGAAACACCCTTGCAATGAAACTGGATTAATTAAAAAACGGTTATATTCCAGATGCATTGAATTTCTTTCTCTCTTTTGTCCCACGAGAAAAAGGGACCATGCAGGGCCTGTCTCCAGATTTGGCAGGAACCGAATCCGAGGCCTCCGGTCTGCAGGAGGCGATCTTGGCTAGGAGTCTTGCAGTCCGAATTTCCTGGGCTGCACCAGATTTTGGCCAGGATACTTAGCTTCAGCAGGTAAATATGAGTTGAAGTTGACGAGGGCCAGTTTGGGCTAGTGCAGGGGTCGGCAACCTTGGCTCTTTTGTGACTTCTGGACTTCAACTCCCAGAATTCCTCAGCCAGCATGGGGGAACTATGGCCCCTTCATGACTCGCGGACTTCAACTCCCAGAATTCCTGAGTCAGCATGGGGGAACTATGGCCCCTTCATGATTCGCGGACTTCAACTCCCAGAATTCCTGAGCCAGCATGGGGGAACTATGGCCCCCTCATGACTCGCGGACCAACTCCCAGAATTCCTAGCCAGCATGGGGGAATTAGGGCCCCCTCATGACTTGCAGACTTCAATTCCCAGAATTCCTCAGCCAGCATGGGGGAACTATGGCCCCCTCATGACTTGCGGACTTCAACTCCCAGAATTCCTGAGCCAGCATGGGGGAACTATGGCCCCTCCATGACTATTGGACTTCAACTCCCAGAATTCCTGAGCCAGCATGGAGGAACTATGGCCCCCTCATGACTGGTGGCCTTCAACTCCCAGAATTCCTCAGCCAGCATGGGGGAACTATGGCCCCCTCATGACTTGCGGACTTCAACTCCCAGAATTCCTGAGCCAGCCTGGCTCAGCTTGGAAACCTCTCCCTTTCCCCTCAGCATGGCTGGCTCAGGAATTCTGGGAGTTGAAGTCCACGGGTCATAAAAGAGCCCAGGTTGCCTACCCTTGGGTTAGTGGTTTAAGGCAGAGGGCTTGAAACTGGGAGACCCTGAGTTCAAATGCTTCCTCCTTAGGCATGAAAGCCGGCTGGGGGACTTTGAGCCAATTGCCAGGAGGCGGCAAGTTCTAGTCTCGCCTTAGATAAATAAAGGCAGCTGGGTGACCTTGGGCAGTCCCTCTCTCTCTCTCTCAGCCTAAGCCACCTCACAGGATTGTTGTGGGGGAAATAGGAGGAGGCAGAAGGATTAGGTATGCCTGCCACCTTATTTGCAAAAATAATCAAGGTGGGATATAAATAAAAGTAAAATAAAATCAGAAAATGATATAATAAAATAAAATAAATAAACAAATAAAATAAATAAAATAAAATAATAAAGTAAATTAATAAAGTAATAAATAAAATACTAAAATAATATAAATAAAAATATAAAATAATAAAATAGAATAAAATAATAAAATTAAAATAAAACAATATAATAAAATAAAATAATAAAATAAAACAAAATAGTAACAAACAAAATAAAATAAATAATTAAAATTAAAAAAATCAGAAAATGAAATAATAATAAAATAAAATGAAATAATAAAAAATAAATAAATAAAATAATTAAATAAAATAATAAAGCAATAAATAAAATAAATATTAAAATAATATAAATAAAAATATAAAATAAAATAAAAAATTAAAGAATAAAAATAGAATAGAATAATAAAATAAAAATATAAAATAAAATAAAAAATAAATAAATAAAATAATTAAATAAAATAATAAAGCAATAAATAAAATAATATAAATAAAAATATAAAATAATAAAATAAAATAAAAAATTAAAGAATAAAGTAAAATAGAATAGAATAATAAAATAAAAAATATAAAATAAAAAATATAAAATAAAATAAAATAATTAATTTCCTTTTAGCCCAAAGTCCCAGCTCAGCCTTCCAAGCTGAATCCCCCCAGTCCCAGCCCCGCACAGGGGGTCTTCTGAAGCCCACCGAGGGGGGTCCAGGGGAGGAGATCAAGACTTCCCCAAGGGGCGCCCAAGAATTGCCCCCCCCCATGGAAGGCAGAGAAGGGAAAGGGAATCTGGGCCTTCCTCCCGCCCCTCCCCCATCCCCAGCATCCCGCAAGAGGCAGAGAAGGCGGGGGGGGGGGAGGGCGTAGTGGCGCACAGTTCCGTCGGCTCCGTCTGCCTGGCTCTTACCGGCTTCTCCTACCCTCTGGAGCTCCTCGGGCGATTCACTCCGATCCGGTCTAGAGGGAGCCCAAACCGCTTCTTGGGCAGCTGCACGACTTTCCTGCAAGGAAAAGAGGAGTCAAGGAAGAGGACTCGGGGGGGGGAGCTTCTTTCAGGCCTGGGGGGGGGACCCCCGCCGTACCCACCCCCTTCCTGCTAGCCAACAAAAGGGGACCTTTGGAGCTGAGGGTTGAACGGTGGGGTGCCTGGGCTGGGCGGTTTCCTTGCAGACGTTTCATGACCCAACTAGGGAACATCATAGTGCTGGAAGGGAGGGGAGGTTGCAAAAAGGAGGAGGAGATTAACCCCATTTGTAGCACTGATGGTGTTCCCTAGCTGGGTCATGAAACGTCTGCAAGAAAGCCACCAGGCTCAGAGAGAACCAAGACCCCATAATCCTTTCTTTCTTTCTTTCTTTCTTTCTTTCTTTCTTTCTTTCTTTCTTTCTTTCTTTCTTTCTTTCTTTCTTTCTTTCTTTCTTTCTTTCTTTCTTTTTCTCTTCTTCTTCTCCTCCTCCTCTCCACAACCCCCCCTTCCTTCTACCACTGATGATGTTACCTAGTTGGGTCATGAAAAGTCCACAAGAAAACCACCCAGCTCAGAGAGCACCAAGGACCTCACAGTTCTCCTCCTCCTCCTCCTCCCCCCTCTTCCTCCTCCTCCTCCTCCCTACAAACCCCACTTGTGTACAAAATCCCCCTATTTCCATCCCCCCCACCCAGTGCACCTCTAATGTCACCAGGACCCTCCACTTACAGTCCACCTCTATCCACCCATCAATGTGTTCAACAAACAAAGGAACATCATAGATTTATTATTATTATTATTATTATTATTACTGTTACTATTACTATTACTGTTGTTTTGTTGTTGTTGTTGTTGTTATTGCTTCACCACTGAATCCTCTTTACGGAATTTCATTCATTCTCCAATGTTTTGCTCCCATCAGGCACTGCTCTGAACTCCTTCCGAAATCAACCTTCTGCTCTAGGTTTGCACAAAAGGCTCCATCACCCACCTCCGTTTGTTTGGTGCTGCTCTCCCCCCCTTTTTTCCTTTTTTTTCCAAAAGGGCAGCGGGCAAAACAACATTTCTGAAATCCATTCATTTCTCGGCCAGCGGCTAAAGAGCAAAGCTTCCTGCGTGGCGTTGCAACGATCGACCGGCCTTCCCAGATTTGCTCACCTTTGAGTATCCTTTGAGTATCCTTTTAAGCCCCTTCCCGAATAAAAGTGCCCCCATTTCTTTTCCCCCCCGCATTCGTTCTGGCTTCCTGTCTCTTTGCACCACAATCCCCACTTTCTTCCGATGGTCGGGCGCAGCTTCAGCGTTCACAACCACACTGGGCCAATTGCACAGCCGCTCCATCACTAAAGCATTTTCAGTTCTTAACAGTTCCTTTCCCACTAATGCCCATTTTTTTTCTACTCACACCAAGAATGAGCATTTCCCAATATTTGGGCACCATTTATAGTCATTGTTTGTTTGTTTTTTCCCTGTGACAAGGGCATTTATGTAACCTCTCCTTCAATTGCCCTCTTTGCCTTTTCTCAGTCCCTTTCATGCCGATGTCTCAAAATTCATTCCGTCATGTTCTCCGTTCACTTGGCTCCCAAATAGAATGCACAATAACAGAAGGAGAGCGTTGGAAGGGACCTTGGAGGTCTTCTAGTCCAACCCCTGGCCCAAGTAGGAGATTCTAGACCAGTGGTTCTCAACCTTTTTAATGCCGCGACTCCCAACCGGTCGTAAGTCGAGAACTACTCAACCGGTCGTAAGTCGAGGACTACTCAACTGGTGCAGCACCGTTTGCAGACTGGGACTTTTGGCGGGCTCAGCAGGGCAGAGACAGCCTGGACAATTCCTATGGGCTTCTGAAAGCCAATAGAATTAGACTCTATTCAAGAGAGTCTCTTCTATTGGCTTTCAAAAGCCAATAGAATAAAAGGGAGCAGCACAGCTAAGGAAAAGGGGGAAAAAATGGCGGACTGCGTTGTTTGGCGACCCCCGTGAAATGGTCGTTCGACCCGAAATGGGGTCCCGACCCACAGGTTGAGAACCACTGTTCTAGACCATTCCAGACCAATGGATGTCTCTTCTTACAAGCCGTCTGGAAGAGGAGGGGGGAGGGAGGAAGGAGGGAGGGAGGGAGGGAGGGAGGAAGGAAGGAAGGAAGGAAGGAAGGAAGGAAGAAAGAAAGAAAGAAAGAAAGAAAGAAAGAAAGAAAGAAAGAAAGGAGGAAGAGGAGGGGGGAGGGAGGAAGAGGGAGGGAGGGAGGGAGGGAGGGAGGAAAGGAAGGAAGGAAGGAAGGAAGGAAGGAAGGAAGGAGGAGAGAATAACAGAATAAAAGAGTTGGAAGGGATCTTTGGAGGACTTTTAGTCCAACCTCCAGCTCAAGCAGGAGACTTGAGTCTAGACCATTCCAGACCAATGGATGTCTCTTCTTAAAAGCCGTCTGGAAGGGAGGAAGGAAGGAAGAAAGGGAGGGAGAGAGGGAGGAAGGAAGGAAGGAAGGAAGGAAGGAAGGAAGGAAGGAAGGAATAATAGAAGGACAGAGTTAGAAGAGACCTCAGAGGTCTTCTAGTCCAACCCCTGGCTCAAAAGCAGGAGACCCTCTACCATTTCTGTCTAGTCTTTTCTTAAAAGCAGGAGACCCTCTACCAATGGCTGTCTAGTCTTTTCTTAAAAACCTCCAGTGACGGAGCAGCTCCCCTGGTTAATTGTTAATTGTTCTCACTGATAGATAATTTCTCCTTAATTCTAGGTTGCTTCTCTCCTTGATCAGTTTCCATCCAGTTCATTCCATACAGAGAAACACCTGCCCCATCTAGGTGGGAAGAGTTAGTGGCAAAAGGGAACCAGACCACCAAAGAAGAGGGTGGCTGGACACCCCATCAAAGATGACACCCAGCCAGAGCACAGAACAACACAAAGAAGCAAGATTGGAAGATGGGGAGAGACTACAAGGCCCACAGAATCGCCAAGAGTTGGAAAAAACAATGGAGATCATCTTCATGATCGTGGTCATCAACTACCTCAAGAACAAGGCCCACAGAATCGCCAAGAGTTGGACACAACAATGGAGACCATCTTCATGATCGTGGTCACCAACCACCTCAAGAACGGCGTGTGTGAAGAAGCAGGAGAAGCTTGGGTGACACCCACCTCTGCTTGGTCTTCAGGCCCTTGGAAAGTCTGTCAAGTGGTGAGCCAAACCCGCTGAAGCTCCTCTTCTTCTTGGTCTCAAAGACGTCGTTCTCCAGGGACACCAGCTCGTTCAGGAGTAACATTTTGGCCACCAGGTCAGTCGTGGACTTCTCTTCCCTGGAAGGAGGAAGACGTCCTGGGCCAGGGGCGAGGGCGGGATCCAGGGGCTGCTGTGACATGAAAGAGTATGGAGTGAGGGACAATGGCTACCTAGGCAGAAGGTTGTTCTGTCCCAGCCTACGCACGTCCTTGTTACTTCACAAAGGCAACCCCTCTTTTAACAGTAGACTGGAAAACAAATCCTAAGTTACAGACCTGATAATTGTCCCAGAAAAGATTGACAAATCCATATCAAGGAGGCCCCCTCCAGAAAAAAAAATCTGCCTGAATTATCAGAAAACCTCAGAAAGCAGAGGAACCCAAAACAGAGATCCTGCAATATTCTTCTGCCCTTTTCTTTCTTCATCTCCCTCTTGAAGTCAATTACCTTGGGATTCATTTTTGCTCATGTGTGTTTTGCTTGTGAGTGTATGTCCTAGGTCAGTGGTTCTCAACCTTTCTAATGCCGTGACCCCATAATACAGTTCCCCATGTTGTTGTGATCCCCAAGTGGGTGTGGCCACCAATAAGAGGGAGTAGGACAGCTAGGGAAAAGGGAAAAAAATGGCGGACAGCATGGTTTGGCGACCCCCGTGAAATGGTCATTCGACCCCAAATGGGGTCCCGACCCACAGGTTGAGAACCACTGTCCTAGGTACTTTCCATACTTTAGGGCAGGGGTCTTCAAACTTGGCCCTTTTATGACTTGTGGACTTCATCTCCCAGAATTCCTCAGCCAGGCATGCTTGCTGAAGAATTCTGGGAGTTTGGGGGGGGGAAATAAAAACCAAACTCTCCCCCACCCCACCCTCGCTGTCAATCCTCAACAGAAATGCTCACAACAATGAAAACCTCGGACAGGAGGAAGAGCGTGGCTGGGCAGTGAGGCAGGTGTCTTGCTCGGCTGTAACTTGGGGGGCACTTTTTCAGTGCCATTGTAACTTCAAATAGTCACTAAGTGAACTGTTGTAAGTCGAGGACTACCTGTACTTTATCCCTTTTTTCCTTTTTTGGGGGAGGGGGGTCAAGTTTTTGACCCCTTGCTAGGTGACTGGTGGTACTTGGATGTTGCCATATCCTAAAAGTGGTACAATGGGTGAAAAAGTTGAAAAGCCCTGGCCTATACAGTCTGAGAAACCAGGGGGGGGGTCCCTCCTAAGCCTCTTGCCCCACCCATTATGCAAATGAGGGCTCAGCTGCCTCTTATCTGACTGTTCCCTAAAGCTACATTAACACAGTCTTGTAAGTCTGAGAGTACAAATCTCCCACCGTCTCCTTTGGAGCCCAAGAAACTAGGAAAGGTTCCTTCTGATCCTCATAATAATGATGATGATGATGACGATATTGGAAGGGACCTTGGAGGTCATCTAGTCCAACTCCCTGCTCAGGCAGGAAACCCTAGACTGGCTGTCCGGTCTCTTCTTAAAAACTTCCAGTGTTGGAGCATTCACAGCTTCTGGAGGCAGGTAGTTCCACTGCTTAATTGTTCTCACTGTCAGGAAGTTTCTCCTTAGTTCCAGGTTGCTTCTCTCCTTGATCAGCTTCCATCCGTTGCTTCTTGTCCTGCCCTCCAGTGCTTTGGAGAATAGCTTGACTCCCTCTTCTTTGGGGCAGTCCCTGAGATACTGGAATGCTGCTATCCTGTCCCCCCTTGTCCTTCTTGTCATTAAACTAGACATACCCAATCCCAACTGTTCTTTATATGTTTTAGCCTCCAGTCCCCTGCTCATCTTTGTTGCTCTCTTCTGTACTCTTTCTCTGCCCATTATGCAGTGAGGGCTAAGCTATCTCTTATCTGACTGTTCCCTTGCTATTTTCTCTTCCTCCATCCGTTTTCCATTAATACACATGAACATATCTGAAAACGCTGGAAAGTTTGACGGGGGAGAAACTCAGACCACATGAGGGCGCCCCAAGCAAGAAAGCCACAGGACAGGGCATGTCACCACCCAGTGATCTTGGCCAGCCACAGGCAGAGGGTCCAGCTCAACCACCACCACCACCACCCTCACCTCTTGAATGCTCTGTGTCTGGAAGGCTCTCCTGGGCTGCCAAAGGAGTAGAAGGGTCAGGATGAGATATCCTGCTTTCTGCTGGCAGGCCTGCATCTGCAAAAAACAAACAAACAAACAAAACACAGTTCATTTCTTAAATTTACAGGAAGATGTTGCTAGGGGATGCCCAGTCTTGAGTTTTTCCTGGAGGGCACACGATATTTTTGAATGCATTTAAAAAAGAAAGAAAGAAAGAAAAAAGAAACAGCGGAGAACTAGGCTTTTTTTCTCTTTTTTAATGCTCATTTTTAATCTTTTGTTTTGTTTTGTAAAAAAAAATTCTTATAAATTTGCATTTTAATTTTCTAAATTAAAATTTTTAAAAAAAATTATTTTTAACGTGCACCCATTTCTGGGCCAGGAAAGGTAAAGGTGCTTGTGAAAACTGCTGTGCTCCAATTCACCACCAGATGGCGATCGTGCTCTCTGACTGCTTGCATTGAAGCCCCAGTAAGGCCATTTCATTGGCTTTGATTCTCCCTGGTTAAATGTCCAAAAAACGGTGTGAAAATTCACACAAAACCCCACAAAATAACAGGAAAGAAGACGTCGATTTCAAAACCTTGCTGCACAAGCCCAATTTACACATTTTTGTCTGCCAGAATTGGAAAATGTTCCATTTTTCCTACCAAACACAAAATGAAGCATTTTCCTGTTCCAGAAAATACACAATTTTACTCGTCTTTCTCTTTCAGATGTGGATAACAGCATTGCGACGTTAGAGAAGGAACATTGTGTTCTACCTTCCGACTTCCTTGTTACTGCAAAAGTGCCAAAATGCAAAGCTCACACTTTCATAACCAACTAAACTACGGGATATCAGGATGACAGGAGGGTGTTGTTTTTTTAAAATTTAATCTGTCTTTTATTACTTTATAAGTAATCAAAGCGGCAAACATTTATAACTCCTTCCTTCTCCTATTTACCCACAACAATCCTGTGAGGTGGGTTGGGCTACGACAGAATGACTGGCCCAAAGTCACCCATCTGGCTTTCATGCCTAAGGCGGGACTAGAACTCCATCTCCTGGTGATTGGTCCAAAGTCATTCAGCCGTCTTTCACTCCTAAGGCGGGACTAGAACTCTCCGTCTCCTGGTGATTGGCCCAAAGTCACCCAGCCGTCTTTCACTCCTAAGGCGGGACTACAACTCTCCGTCTCCTGGTGATTGGCCCAAAGTCACCCAGCTGGCTTTCATGCCTAAGGCGGGACTACAACTCCCCATCTCCTGGTTTCTAGCTTGGTGCCTTCCCCACTACAGCAAACTGGCTCTATATCCATTTATCCGACTTGCACATCCCAAACGCTCCTGCAACTTGGAATATGTCTGATTGCTAAAACCCTCCTGCAGCAAATCCCTGAGCAGGACTTGGGTTCCAATCTCGGCAGGATCGGACAATGGCTGGGACCAACATCTGCCAGAGCCATACTTTGCTCCTCAACCTAGCGGGCTGCCTCCGCCCACTCACCCCGCCCCCCCAGAGCCCCTCTTCTCATCCCCGCCCACCTGTTTTGGGGTCCCCATTGTGACTGGGAATGGGGATCCCTCCATGATTGCACTTTCTCTTTTCCCTGATTAAAATGCTCAGGTGTTAAACTAAAGGATTGGGAGATGATGGTGTTTTTTTGAGGGGGGGGGCGCTTGGAACTGTAAATTACAGAGAGTCCTCGACTTACAACCACCACTGAGCCCAAAATTTCTGTTGCTAAGCAAGACATTTAAGTGAGACACAACACAAAAAAGATGCGGAGACTCTAGAAAGAGTGCAGAGAAGAGCAACAAAGATGATTAGGGGACTGGAGGCTAAAACATATAAGGAACGGTTGCTAGAATTGGGTATGTCTAGTTTAACGAAGAGAAGGACGAGGGGGGACATGATAGCAGTATTCCAATATCTCAGGGGCTGCCCCAAAGAAGAGGGAGTCAAGCTATTCTCCAAAGCGCCTGAAGGCAGGACAAGAAGCAACGGATGGAAACTCATCAAGGAGAGAAGCAACCTAGAACTAAGGAGAAATTTCCTGACAGTGAGAACAATTAACCAGTGGAACAACCTGCCTCCAGAAGTGGTGAATGCTCCAACACTGGAGGCTTTTAAGAAGAGACTGGACAGCCATTTGTCTGAAAGGGTGTAGGGTCTCCTGCTCAAGCAGGAGGATGGTCTAGAGGACCTCCAAAGTCCCTTCCAGCTCTATTATTCTATGTTGTGCATTCTACATTTGTTAGGTTAAACCCACTTTACAACCTTCCTTACCACGGAATCCGGCTTCCCCAACTAATTTTCCTTATCAGAGGTCTCAAAACGGGATCATCGCGTGAGCCTGGGGCACTGTGACCGTCATAAATATGAATCTCTCGACAAGTGCCTGAATTTTGATCACGTGACCCCCGGGGATGATGCAATGGCCGTTAAGCATGAAAAACAGTCCGAAGTCCCCTTTCCCAGGATCATCGCAATTTTGAATGGTGACTAAGCTCATAGTTGTAAGCTGAGGACTTCCTGGACGTACTTCCAGCTTTGGCCAAGCTAGGTTGGTTTACTGCTGGAGTGATAGATGTCGGCGGTTCTGGAGGACACCCGAATGTCAAATGCAGTCACAGCTCAGAGTAAATTATTGCTTCCATAAATTGCATCCTTGCATCTGGAAGTGAGCCTGCCCGGTTCCCCTAATTAAGAGATTGATTTTTTAAAAAAAAAAAATTTGGGGGGGCGTTTCCCACCCTCCGAGTCTCCTTCACCAGATGGCCCACTTTCCCCAGTCCTTTGGCAGCTGCAGTTTCAAGGTTTAATGCAACGTCTCTCAAGCTGGAGCAGCTTGGAAGATTTATGGACTTCAACTCCCAGAATTCCCCAGCCACTAGCTGCCGGTGGAAGCCAGACTGCAAAGAGCATCATGTGTTTATTATCTTTCCTGACCTGGATGCAACTGCTTCTGTTAAGGCCGCTCTCGACTCCATGGGCCTTTTAAGCTGCCGTTTGACAGTCCTGCCTCACGTGCGGCTGGGGGTCCTTTATGGAACCTTCTGGCCATCACCAGATCTCCCCTGTTGTGATTCTGCAACTGTGTGTCTGACTCTGAGCCCATCCCTGTGTTCAGCAGCTGGGCGGATTTATCCCAGGGTCAGCTGGGATTCAATAGAAGGGAATCTCTGTAGCTCAGGATGTGCCCTTAGTTACTTCGCTGGGTGCTGGAATGTCTGCAAGAAAACCACCAAGTCCAGAGAGCACATCCTCCCCCCCCTCTTCCTCCTCCTCCTCCTCCTCCTCCTCCTCCTCCCCCTCCTCCTCCTCTTCTTCTCCTTCCTCCACTCTGCAAACCTCCCTCCCTTCTAGCACTGATGATGTTACCTAGTTGGGTCATGAAAGGTCTGCAAGAAAACCACCAAGCTCAGAGAACTCCTCCTCCTCCTCCTCCTCCTCCTCCTCCTCCTTCTCCTTCCTCTACTCTGCAAACCCTCCTCCCTTCTAGCACTCATGATGTTACCTAGTTGGGTCATGAAAGGTCTGCAAGAAAACCACCAAGCCCAGAGACCTCCTCCTCCTCCTCCTCAGCCTCCTCCTCCTCCTTTTCTTTTTCTCCTTTCTCCACTCTGCAAACCCCCCTCCCATCTAGCACTGATGATGTTACCTAGTTGGGTCATGAAACGTCCGCAAGAAAACCACTCAGCTCAGAGAGCAGCAAGGACCCCTGAGCTGGGGATATTTAAAATAGCAATATCAAACAAAGATTCTCTCCCCAATAAATCTTGACCATTTGGAGAACTTTTTAAATGCCTTTTTAGGACTTTGGTTCTCCCGTGTCTTGGGCTTTTGCTGAAGTCTTTTTCTCCTCTTAGGCCTTTTAAGGAGAAAGACAGATTGACAGCTTTGTGCCCCCCTCTCTAGATCAACTGCACAAATGTTTTTGCCTAAGGGGAGACCAAATTCATCTCCCCATCTGATGCGGTTTTAAAGCACAGTCTGAGCTGAGTGGGGCTGTTCCACTCTTTGCAGATTCTGGACCTTATTCCCACATGCATGATAAGCTGGGCAAACAAGCGAGGTTGAGTAGGAACAAATTCTTTTTTTAGCAGGGAAAAAAAGCAGGTTGTGTGTGTGTGTGTGTGTTTGTGTGTGTGTTATTTTTTAAAATCCTGATTTGAGTCTGCAGTGCGCAGAAAAGATTAGGGAGGACATGCTTCGTGCCCAAAAATTCCGGAAAAGCTTTTACAGTACAAACACAAGCTTCACAAATCCATTGACAACGCAAATGCTGCCAGACTACAAGTTTGCTCGGGGTTTTACTTCTGGATCCTTTTTAAAATTAATAACTCTTTTTTTAATTTTCTCAGAAAGCGCCCAAGGATGCCACAAGATCAGGAGAGTGTGTTTTCACCACGGCTTTGGAACCGAAGGCAATTTAGATCAGCTTAGATCAGAAAGGATGCAGAGAAGAGCAACAAAGAGGATCAGGGGACTGGAGGCTAAAGCATACGAGGAACGGTTGCTGAAATTGGGTATGTCTAGTTCAGTGGTTCTCAACCTTTTTAATGCCGCAACCCCCCCCAACCGGTCGTAAGTCGAGGACTACTCAACCGGTCATAAGTCGAGGACTACTCAACTGGTGCAGCACCGTTTGCAGAATGGGACTTTTGGCGGGTTCAGCAGGGCAGAGACAGCCTGGACAATTCCTATTGACTTTTGAAAGCCAATAGAATTAGACTCTATTCAAGAGAGTCTCGTCTATTGGCTTTCAAAAGCCAATAGAATAAAAGGGAGTAGCACAGCTAAGGAAAAGGGGGGAAAAAATGGTGGACTGCGTTGTTTGGCAACCCCCGTGAAATGGTCGTTCGACCCCAAATGGGGTCCCGACCCACAGGTTGAGAACCACTGGTTTAGTTTAATGAAGAGAAGGATGAGGGGGATATGATAGCAGTCTTCCAATATTTGAGGGGCTGCCCCAAAGAAGAGGTTTGTTAGGTTGGACTGTTTTTTCCCTTTGTGTAAAGATGGATGCAAAAAATGAGTTGAGTAGTTCTGCTTTCTCCCTGTTGCTTGCCAGTTTCTCCCACTAATG